ACAATCCTTGACAAGCTACATAAATTCTCTTAGTTCCCCCATTCTAAAGCAAAGATAATAGACTATCCACCTTAGAGGGTTGCAGTGAGTATTAAATGAACATCAAATGAGGGAACATTTCTAAAGAGCTTTAGTACAACACTCGGCACATTGCAATGCTCAGTCATGGCTAGTTCTGATATTAAATGGGAAATCAGATGGAGATGCCTAGCAGATATTTGATTACATGGATCTGGCACTCAGAAAAAAAGATAGTAACTAACAACATAAATTTTTGATGTTTCAGTTGTATCTATTTCTTGTGACCTACTCTAACAAATACCACAAACTTGGTTTGAAAATAACAGAAATTTATTTTTGCATATGGAGTCCAGAAGTCTAGAATCAGTATCACTGGACCACAGCTATAGTGTTGGTAGGGCCACACTCCTTTGGAGATGCTAGGGGAAAATCTCTTTCCTGCTTCTTCCAGCTTCTGGTAGCAAATGGCATTTTTTAGACTGTGGCTGAATCATTCTGATCTCTGCCTCTGAGATTACATTGCCTTTTCCTCTTCGTCTGTGCATATCTTCCTCTCCTTCCCTCTCATACAGATATTTAATGGTGATATTTAGGGCTTATCTGGATAACCCAGGATAATCTCCCCATTGAAGACCATTAACTTAGTCACATCTACAAAAACTCTTTTTTCCATTAAGGTAGCATCTATAAGTTCCAGGTATTAGGGCCTACTGTCTTTGGAGGCCATTTATTTAGCCTATTATACTATTTAATACAGGTTGAGCAGTCCTAATTCAAAAAACAAAAATCTGAAATGCTTTTAAATCCAAAAGTTTTTGAACACTGGTATGGTTTGGATAATAGTTTGTCCCCAGAATTTTATGTTTTAGGATTTTGTCTCAGTGGGCAAAGTTTGGATGTTTCCTAGAAACTCATGTGTTGAGACTTGATTGTATTAACTGCATTATAAAGATGTTAAGTGAAAATTTAATCCCTTTATGGTATCCTAGGGTGTGTTAATGTCACTAGAGTGGAACCTCCATAACTAAGTTCTGGTAGGGTTTATAAGCAGAGGGAATGAGACCAGAATAGCAGAGAGAAGGCCACATGGTTACAGACCATACTCTTTGTTAAAATTTCTGCCTTCTGCCATTTGGTCATGCCTTTGGACTTCTCAGACACCAGAACTGGGCATGTACACACATGCACCTGGCATGTTTTTCAAAATAAACCACTATGCTCTTAAATTTACCTAGCATCAGGAATTTCTGTTAGCAACACAATAATGGACTAAGACAAGTAACGATATGACTCCATGAGTAGAAAATTCCCCACTTGACTTCATATGATAGATCACAGTCAAAACAATGCAGTACAGAAATTTCATATAAAATTTCTTTTAGACAATGTGCATAAAGTGTATATGAAACATAAATGACTTTCATGTTTAGACTGGGGTTCCCTCCCAAAGATATCTTATTGTACATATGCAAATATTCCAAAGTCTGAAAAATCTGAGTCTGAATAACTTTTGGTTCTAAGCACTTTATACAACCTGTACCTGATGCTGCAAGACATGAGTGAACATAAAATGATGAGAGAATGAAACTAAATATAGAACCATTGGCACCATAACCATGTAACAGGGAAGCCAAGGATGAGGAGTCACCACCAGATGAGAGGGAGAGAGAAGGTGGAGGTGGGAGTGAGAGTATCTGAGACTCCAAAGACTTAGTGGGTTTCCCAAAGGACAGCATGCTGGAAACACTTCAGAAATCAAGAGAAAGGCTGTGAAGGGATTACTGGTTTTGACTGTTAGGAAAGATATCAGTAAATTTAGCCAAGTGGATTTGCTGGTGTGGAAGAAAGAAAGTCAAACTGTGGTAGATTATGCATGGAATCACCTATCCCTGTGACAGCTTTTGCGCATACAAAGGGGAAATGGTGCAAGCACCCACTGACAAGCCACTCCTTTGCCTCACAGTTGTATTTTCTTTGGATTCCCAACAATAAAAGCTCATCAAAGGCAAAGGTGGACATGACCTATGATTAGAAGGGCAAGGGACTACCTCATTCCCATATAAATACGTTTGCTTTCCTGCTTCTGAGAGAGATTCATGAAAAAAAACATTAATTTTTCCTGAAAATTGTTCAGTTCATTCTCTCTCAAAGGTAGAGAGACTAGACTAGCAAGTAGTGATATTTTTAATCATGATATTCTTTTCCAATATCTTAAAAAGAACTTAAACTATTGAAGTACTAGTAACATTATTAGTCATTTGACAATCATTATAAATCACAAGCCATATGCTCAACATTATATGAGGGATAAAATAAGATGTAGTAAGGCTAATGTAAGATTAAGATAATAATAACTGATTGCCCTGTATGCAACAAACATTGATCTAAATGCTTTATGTAATGAATTACATGTTACTAGTATTTTTGTCCCAATCTTATAGAAGAAGGAATTGAAGAGCAAAGTTAGGGAGAAATTATGCAGATGGGAACATAAAGTAACGATAAACTTAGCAGTCAGTCTCTGGTTCTGTTCTCTGAACCACTATGACATACACTTTTAGCGTCTGCAAGGAACTATCTCTACTATATCAAATATACAAATAAGCATTATTTCAAAATGACATAGCAAAAACCAGACTTTGCCTTTAAGAAAACCTTGTAGCACTGCAAATTCTTATACATTACTTAGACTATACTCACTGAATACCTACTAATACACTAGTCACTATCCTAGAAAATGAATTTTCAAAAATAAAAAAAATGAACAGAAACTCCTGCCCTCATGTTCAAGTGAGCTGACTTTACCTTTTAATCTCAAGCAATAAGCAACACTATTGCTATAGTCCCAGAGCCAAGATGAAACCAACTCTCTACTTACTGTGTATAAGACAACAGCATTGACTTGTCAAAAGAGAATTACATTATATGGTAGAAACTACCATTACCATTGAAATCATTCTTCTGGAGGAAGTTTTGCTATGCTGAAACATGGATAAAGAATTACAGAGTAAAAAAAAAAAAATGGAAAATGATATGTGGAGAGTTTTTTTCTTATAGCTCACTGACCTTTCTAGCATCTAAATCAATAATCCCAGTTCAGAGAGGCACTATCTTCATGATATTGAGCATTTTGTTCGACATTTCTGCATTTGTTTCCTAAGGATGGTATTACCTGACATCTAAGATTGTTTTCAGTCTGACTTTCTATGACCCCAAATAACAAATACCAGGAGTTAAGAGGAAGCTATAGAGTTCCAGCATGCTCCATTTCCCACTCACCCACAGGCTAGAATCTAGAGAACTCGCCAAACCTCAAGCACTCAGAATAACATGGCCTGGCCCAGGCCTCTGCAGCAGTGCAACTCTAGTCAGGAGGTCTGTGACCTTTTCCCCTTCACACTCCATGGCACCCTCTTCCCATGAGAATTTTTCAATGAAACTCATTTGCCCTTTATCCCAAAAGAAAACAGGACTCTGTGCATTCCTTATCCCCAGATCCAGCTGCCAGATAAAATACCAGATGACTGTTCAAATTTAACTGGATGTCCTATATTTGCATTTGCTTAATCTGGTAATCCTACCTCAGGCCTCTCAACCCTTTAGAGAAATAGGCCACCAGATCCAAGAAGACTTCCCTGACCACTCAGTCTACTTTAAATAACAATTTCTCCTTCCTCAACACTCCCTTCTTCACTCACACATTAATTTTCCCCGTAGCATTTATTATCCCCTGACATATAACACAATATATTGGATTGTTTGTTTTTTTAACTCTCTGTGCTCCCTCCTCCTACCATGGTGAAAGTTCTACAACACTATGTATATTTATCTGTTTTGTTCATGCTATATCTTCAGTGCCTATAATAATAACTGGCACAGAGTAAGTGCTAAATAAATTATTTGTTAATGCATTTGTTCAATTAAATATCTATTTATTTGATATAAAAAAATTGTATCAAGGCCCAGCCATATAGCATGAACTAGACACTACTTCTGCGGGCTGGGGCCACACAGAAGGTCCAGCTTCAACTTTCGGCCTATCCTAAATAGTTGGGCGCTTGTAATCACAAACTGAGGCAAAAAGATTACAACATGGTAAGACCCTGCCTACAACACCACATACATACACACACACACACACACACACACATCACAAAACTGATATTAGCATCATGATACCATATCATAGTTGAATAATAACTAATCACAGAAATAGCTGATAATTATTGAGTGTATCCTATGTACTTGGCAGTATGCTGAACAATTTACATAAATTATCTCACTTAATGCTCACAAAACTCAGAGATGTAAGAACTGTTAGTCCAGGGACCAGCAGTTGGCGTAATGGCTATGTTGCTGGACTCCCTTTAGACAACCACAGTTTAACTCCTGGACCTGGTGGCTTAAACTTATGCCAGATGCGTGTGCGTGAGTGCCCAAGATTTCGAAAGGAGAATGAAAGAGAAGGGATTGCAGTGTGGCCATCTCCCCTGGGGGGTGATTTCTTGCTTTCTGTCTCTCTCTGTCTTTCTGGTGAGCATATGCAACCTATAGCAAAAAAAAAAAAAAAAAAGAACAGTTAGTCCCATTTTGCAGCCAAGGAACCCAATATGTGCTGAGAAAAAAGGAATTAGCTTTCCCATGGTTATATAGGATAGGCTTTAAGATTCAAACCCAGCAGACTGACTCCACAGAATAGGTTCTTTATCTGATCCTTTTCTTAAAAAGAATGCTTTTACCTAGAGACACTGAAAATATCAATAAGGAATTAAATGCTCACACAAACTACAATATTAAAAACTTTGAATGAATAAATTACTGCTCCAGTTCAAAAAAAAAATTTTTTAATTGATCTCTGTATGTGCGCTAGAACCTAGAGGTAGACAAGTTGAGAAGGTCTTTTGTAATAGACAAATGTAAGTCATGCTAGTGCAGCACTGTTTAGAGAGGATTCTGGGAGATGAGTCACAGTTACTTACTGCTTTTGCTTATTTTGAAATTCAGAATTGACTTCAGGAGGTATCAACATATAACTGACCAATATAGCATATACAGTCGTCCCTCTTAGCCACATTGGACATGTTCCAAGAACCCCAGTGGATGTCTGAAACCACATACAGACAGTAATAAGCCCCATATATGCCATGTTTTTTCTACATAAGCCTATGATAAAACTTATTTATAAACTAGGCATAATAAGAGATTAACAACAATAATAATAAAATAGGACAATTGTAACAATATACTGTTTAATAAAAGTTACGTGAATGTTCTCTCTCTCTCTCCAAATATTTTATTGTACTCACCCATTTCTTTTCAGACCCCAGTAGACCAGAGGTAACTGAAACTGCAAAAAGTGGAACTCCCAGGTAAGCAATAAGGAGGGACTACTCTATACATGTATAATATCTCTCGAAACTTTGTAAAGATGACAGAGGGATTTGTAAGTAACAACTGAAGCCACATAGATGCTGTAATGAGAGCAAAGTCCATATTAGTGACAAGTAATATGAACACAAATATATTCAGTTCTGGGCAGGATTTGATTTAAACTTTTAGGTCATCCTAACTAATGAACAGGCTATTGTTTTTACCCTGACAAGAGAGAATCCCCTCTACTTTTGTTCCTTCAGAAAGCCATCTTCTTCCTTTTCTTTGTTGGCTACTTTCAGCCCACACTGCTCTGTGCTGGGTTCCTTTTCTTATACCAGGAGTGCAATTTCTCAATCTCTGCTAAAACAGTGATTCCAAACTGATGTTAAAGACTCGCCATTACTTGGTTTGAAAACTACTGCACTGTTCCTATTATCAGGACCTCAGCAACAGCCTCAACAGATGTTACTCTTTCACCATTATTTGCTCTTTGGTGAACAATGCTTTTGCTGGTATTCCCTCAAGTATCTAACCCAAGATCAGCAAGTTATAGCCAACTGGCAAAATCTAGTCAACAGACTGTTTTTGGATAGCCTAGGAACTAAGAAAGTCTTTTAAGAAAAAAAAAATTGGAATCATTTGAGTGGTAGTGAATACTGATGTTGAACTCTAATTGAGTGAATTTTTTAAACTCCATTCTTCCTATTAGACTTGTACTATTAAAAATTGTACTCAGTATTATTAAAATTTGAATTTTATCAGTAAAACATGGAAATTTCTTTTCCTTTTTGCTATATAAATGTCTACCTATACTCTATTTAATCTTTTGACCCATGCAACCTAGAATATTTACTATATGTCTTCAACAGAAAAAATTTGCTGGTTCTTGACCTGATCTTTGAAGTTAAGGCAATATGATTCGAATAAGGCCAACTGATAATTATTCTTAAAAAGGACGCTACAGTTTCACCAACTCTAACTTTATTTAGATGTAATCTTAAAATGCTATCTTGCGGTATTTTTCTTAAAATTGATACTCATTTACTGCCACACACTGAGCTTTTTTATTCTTTTGTTATTTTTTTCATTTTCGAAAGATGCTCACATTTTTTAGCCTAAGTCCCTATTGTGACATTTGACTAATTGTTACTAAACCATTCCACTTAGGCAGCCTGTTGGGGGAGGGGTGCCAAATTATATGCAGTGCAATGTGAGAATATAATACAGTTCATATACAAATATGTTTCAATAATCACATAATCTAGAAAGGCTTTTCACTCAGAATCTTTTCCTCCTTATCTACATCAATGAGGATGTTAATGTTTTTTTTTTTAAAAAAAGAATCCAACTTAGGCTACACACATGTATATTTGTGTGTATTAGGCTGTGATGTGCATCAAGGTCAAAAAAGTTTATAGCCTCTGCTCTATTGTTCTGGAAAGAATCAAAGTAATACTAAGCTCTACAATGTGGAGAAAAAAAATCTAATTCACTACCATCTCATTTCAGAAGGAAAAAACATGTTTTAAACAAAGACATTTTCGGGGGAAAAAAAATTTGCATGTATGTCCATTCAGACACCAAAGGAATCAACGCCGTTAGCTCATCTCAAGAAAAATGTGGAACACCCTTAATGAAACTATAAAAACACAGTCATGATTTACTCCATATTAAACACTTCTTTAAGCTGTGCCTTTTTCTTCTTCTTGATAGACTTTGAATCATCAAGGCGAAGCAGAGCACATAGGAATGGCTGCAATCCTTACAACTCTCTCTAAAGGCCATCATTGGACAGCCTCACCGGTTTGTAGAACAAATAAATTCAGCCTGGACCTGGGGCTGTTTATTCGTCATTCACAACCGACTAAACATACCTTTGAGAGCTCACTGTGGACAATAGTTTCTGCTTCAAAGGAATTTAGAGTTTATTTAATTCTGTTTGGATAAGGTTTGCCCTAAGAGAAACTACAGTTCAGGTAAATATAGTAAGCTCTTTCTTACTTCGTTTACCTGTCTTGCCTTACCTTTCAAAGTTATCAATATTATTGCTCCTTATATATATCAAACAGCTATAGCCCAGTCCAGCCACTCTTGCCTTAGTAGGAAGTCAGAAACTATTCCTTGGGGGCCACCATCTGGGCACTCTCCACAGCACCTGAAGCCAAGGTTCCTCTTTTACTGTCCTATGTTACCTCTTTCCCATCTCATTTCTTTTTTTGAAGAGTTTTTGCTATAAGGCGTGTGCACTCGCCAGACTGATAGAGAGAGACAGAAAGTGAGAATTCAACCACCCAGGAAAGATGGCCATGCTGCAATCCCTTCTCCTCCATTCTCCTCTTGGGATCTTGGGCACACATGCACATGTACCTGGAGTGAGTTTAAGCCACTGGGTCTGGGACTCGAACCACAGTCGACTACATGGGAGTCCAGCGACATAGCCATTATGCTAACTGCTGGTCCCCCTCATCTCATTTCTTCAGGATGGAACTAGTTCTAAAAAGTCAACCAGCACCATAGAAAGTTGAATAAGCTCTTAGACTTCTAGATGAGAATACTTGCTAACACTGATCAATTCCAGTGCCTACTTGGGCCATATGCTGTTCTATATACTGCATCCTGAATTGACTTATTCACCTTTGATTGCAACCTCATAAAGTACGTAGTTCTATCATGATGAACTTTGAAGATGAGGAAATAGGCACAGAAAATGCCAATGACATGCCCAAGGCTGTTCTGCTAAGGTTGAAGGACCAGATACTAAGCCTCCTAGTCTGGCTAGCAGCTTCTCCTCTCCATTGCCTCTAATGAGATTTAGAGTATAGACTTAGACTTTAGAAATTTAGCCATAGGCAATCTCCCAAATTTGACCTACCCTCAAAATAGATTACTGTGAGAAGGGGAATTTTGAGCTGAGCACAAGTGATAGGTAGCCTTCCTTGGGAGAAAGATGTTTCATAAAAGAATCATCTACATTGGTTAATGTTGAACTGAAGGCTTTGAAGGAACAGTTTCCATTTACAAGAGAAGTCGGTTTCTTAAAATGTTAGGAATGAGCTGAGTTTTAGGCTTCAGGGCCTAGACCTGGTTTACCTTATTCTTATAGATGAGCCTGTCTGGGGACCACCTGGGGAGCTCCTTTATAGCAGCGATTGGATAAATGCAAGGCCAGGTTGTGGACTAGATAGTCATAATGTTCAACCAGGATGTGGGATGCACCCACTCCAGTCAGTGGCCAAGTCCTTCAAAAAACTCCAGTTCCCTTGACACATCAGGGAAAAAGAAGCTAGAGCCTGATCCAGATGGCCAATTATCAAGGATTTTCTTAACTGCAAAATCCTTCAAATATGGTATATGTCATGTCAGATGAGGTTACTGAGAATAAACATGGGGAATAAATTAAAATTGCCAGAATGAGTTTTTTGGTTTTGACTGGTGTACCTGCACCTGCCCTCCAGGCAGTGTAGAATGTATGAAAAAATGTTGTCATTTGTGAGCTCGTACTAACTAGATCAACCATGGTAGGCAAATAGTTTCCGCAGCTTCTCATTTTCTCCAGTGGCTCTACAACCAATCAGCTCAGATTTTCATAGAACAGAAATAACTTGGCCCTCCCATAGAATAGCTTCAGGTGCCTGGAATGACCAAAACCCATATACCACAGCAATCTGATAAGGACAAAGATAAGATTAATTCAGTAACTGTCACCAGATGCCAGTTATTCTTACCTATCTTATGAAGGCAGTTTTAACTTCAAGTTTGGCTTTTCATATTTTGGCCCTTTCATCTTGTACACAACTCTGACTGATGTTTGGTGTTGAACTTGGGTTAAGTTAGGCAGCAGGATACTAAAGTGTTTCTCAGAGAGGTTTGCTCATTTGTTTCACTCTCTATTTTCAACCAGGCTCCATTGTCCACTAGGAAAAAAAATTAGGAGATTATGTGAAATAGGCCTTCCATCTCACAACACCTTGATGCTGGATATGCATTATTTCAATTACACAGGCAGGAAACTGACTTACGCAAGGTTACACAACTAATAAATAGATCTAGATTCTATTCCAGGCATCTGACTCCAGAGCACATACTCTTAGCCTACACACCACTTGCATAGTCTTTAGCTTCAAGATATTGGCTAGTCAAACAAATGTAATAGTTATCTTACAAGTGTTTTATTCACATTGCAAGTCATTCTTTGGTAACCATCAGTCCTTACTCTAGGCCTATATTACATAGAATGATAAAAACAGGAGTTGGCAATTATCTAATTTATTCATGATCATAGGATTTTAAAGCCAAACATTTAGGAATCCACCCTCTCCGATAAACTCTGATTCTACTCATAAAGAAATGAAGACACTTGACTAAAGTCATACAGTTAATTAGTAGGAGAAATAGTAATAAAATTTGGGCTTCCTATCTTTCAGTTCAGAGCACTCTACTCTACTTTTACTATATTTTAGTAATAACAACAATGGACTTACTATTTGCTTTGTTAAGCCATTGACTTATGTTATCCTATTTAATCTTTCCCCAAATCCTATTCAGTATTTTTATACCCATTTTACAGATGAAAAAATTTCCATGACCAATTTGTGTATAAGCCAAAGCCTATTATTAATCTTTATGTTAAGAGCATTACCCAGGACAAGATTTATGACTTAATTTAAATAAGCAGACAATCAAAGGGCTTTAGTTTTCTTTCAAGTTAACTCATTCAGCACTCTCTTCAATTCCTGGGTAGTTGCCTATTTCTCTGTAAGATTAAATTGAGAATATTAGTGTTCTATGCTACCTAATTTTCTTTCTTGTTTACATTTTTTAAGAAAGAAAGGAATGCATAAGGAAAAGCAAAATATTCCACAGGCTCAAGAGCTTCTCTTCTAGATAAAATCTTTTCCATGGCATTGCAACTTATTTTTAGTTTTATGATCCCTTTCAGGATCTTTTGTTATTTACAAAGCAAATATTAAGAGCTGAGCTGAACATCCTCTGTATATGCCATGAAATCTAATCCATGTCTTTCTGTTTTTTGAACTTATAAATCTAGCCTTAATTTTGGAGAGGGAAACCTTTATATGTGTTCTAGTTGCTTTATGACGGGAAATAAAAACGCCAACTAGAATTAAAAGATGGTGCAGAATTCTATTAACATTTGCAAAGAATGCAGACTTGATTGTTTTTATTTTTAGTTTTTTTTGTGCGTTCTTTGTGTTGTTGTTTGGCATTTTTTCCACTCCCATGGCCCAGGATCCAGCTCAATTAACTATTGATTGGGGAGGCTGGACAATGGCACACCAGTGAAAAAAACAGTGCTCCACAAGGCTGATTCACATGAGAAGGTTTTGGTTTTATGTTCAGAGACTTCCCTTGAATACTCCAGGCACACTCTTACCTATGATCCAAACCTGGCTGAAGCTAGAGGTGGATCAGTGTCATCACCCTGTTTGAGGTCCTGTCTGTCTCTCTTGCTTATAGGAGAAATAAATTATTTATATATATTATATACTTATTATATATACATCATATACATATAATATATACATTATATACATATTATATATACATATACACATATTATATATACATATATACATATTATATATGATGGTGCAGTGGAAATGCACTGCTCAACAGAAGGCCATCCCACATGATAACCAAGATTTAAATCTCTGGTGTAGTCAGCCTGAAACATACCAGGCATGTGCATGGATGCACTAGATCTGACAGAGTGGAAACTGGAGGAAGCAGATTATAGAGTAACCAGATCCTGTGAAGGTTGCCCCCCCTCTTCTACACACACATGCACACACACACAGACGCACACCTACATACACTTTCACATGCACATGCACACATCATTTATTTTTTAAAAAAATTTTTAAAAAGTAACTGATCATCTAGTCATCTATACATAATGCATATTAAAAGGTACTATAGGACAGTGCTTACCACTTACAATCCAGGAGAGCATAATGGACTCTATGACGTCCACTAACACTGACGCTCTGAGGATTATTTAATATTAAGTACTAGTTAGAATTATATTATTATCAAGTATTCATAAATGACTTATTGAATCAATTACAAATGAAAGTAATCATTGCTTCTAAACAACTAACATCAAAGTATAAATCACTTGGGGGGACCCAAACCCTTAAAAGGAGTCTCAAAGGGAACGAGACAAACTGACCATCTGAACTAACTTTACATTGACAATTCTCTATGAATATTTAAGAAACACACATACACACAAACCAACAGTCACCCATTTATAAAACTCCATCTTTACTAGGAGCTTAATGTAGTTTATTTTACCCATTCTATTTAAAATAGTATTATTTAAATATATAATAAATATACAATTATTAAAAGTATAGTCTCATTCTTTTTTTATACTATATTTGAAATATTGTGTTTACATGTCTGTGTGTGTTTGTGGATGTGTGTTTGTGTGTGTTTTAAATCTAGGGCACAATTCTATTCAGACCAGACACATTTCAAGCACCCAGTAGCTACAAACCATTAGTACCTGCTATATTGGATGGCACAACTCTAGAAGATTCCAGCCTCCAGTTACCAAGTTCTCTCCTGCCCTCTACTGAGACATTGAGTCTTCTAGCTGACAATATGGAGAACTATCCATAATCCAGACTCACAAGATCCATGTTTTAAGCTGCTAAATTCTGGGGGTACAATGGTTTGCAGTAACAAAACCTAGATATCACTAGCAAATGTAGGTTATGAGAACAGATGGGTATTTTTCCTCTGTTCAAACTTAATTATTTTTTAAAAAGGTTAAACTGTAAAATCTTAGAGGCCTTCATAAAGGGCTTTAAAGAGCATTTATTTCAACCTCCTACCTAATGACAAAATCGTGATATGTCATCCACAGCAAATGGTCTACTCATTTTGCTCGATTAGTTATATCTCACAAGAAAATGCACTGAATTCTTGTGTAAGTTTTACTCTTGAAATTTTCCTTTATATTGAATATTCAAAATGAATTTTAAAATAACCTTTTTAGCAATTCTATTCTGGCCTCTGGAGTTACAGATCTAAGACCTCTGAGATAGCAGGCTTCAGATTTTGGAGACACAAGCATACTTTCCCTGCCCATGTCATTACCTCGCCCTATCTCCAGGCTGAATATCCCTAATTCTTTCTATTGCTTCTTGTAAGGTGTGGTTTTCAGAACTTTAACCCCCAGAACAAATTTCCTCAGTTCTCTACTTTATGACCCTTCATAAATCTCAAACCTTACAATGTAATACTCAGAATAAGATATGTGCTCCAGATATGATCTTGACCAGTACATGGTTCAGTGGGACTGTTCATCTTGTCCTAGATGATGTATTTTCATGAACGTAAGTAAAACTACTTCTTTCCAAAAGTATTTCAATAAAGACAAGTCTCCCTCCATCTGAACACGGTAAGTCTCTTAGATGCATGCGGAACCTTAATATATCTTAGGAAGTGCCTGAAACACAAAATCAGAAGATGGACCTTGACTTCCACCAGGAATGCACTAGATGTATGACTTCAGACAAGTTGCTTATAATGTCTATATCATATTTAACTAAAAAATGGCAATATAGTCAAGTGGATATTTTTGGTAGGCATTAAATGGAATAAATAGGTATAAATGGTCTGTAGTCTGTAAAAATCTATACAAACATAGGGTTTTTTTTTGTTATAAATGGCAACCAGAATAGGACTTGATGCTTATTTCCATTGAACCTCATCTGCCTGGTTTTAGCCCACTACTACAGCTCATGAAGAATTTTCTTTAAAATGTTATTCAGTCTGGTTTAGTAATTTGATAAACATTTATGAAACATTTATTCTATGTAAGACACAGCACTCTCACTTTTCAATGCCTTAGAGAGTCTAACAAACTTTAAAAGCTCCAAGATCATCCATCAACCACAGGTATGTCAGAGTATTTTAATCAAAAGCAATGATTTTACTCAAGACAAGATGCTATTCTTTGTACCTAATGATCCAGAAGCTGGGTCAGGCTGCCCAACTCTGTTTTAGGGGCTGGTACAAGGAGGCCACCTATGCAGTTTCTTGCTCCATTCCAAAGTACCAGCATAAAGTCATAGTGATTACCTGGCAAACAATCCCCTGGTAGAATAAAAGAACCTTTTTAATTAGTATAGATAGCAAATTTTGAGGTTTGGGGCTCAGACTGGGGCAGGATAGTAGACTGTTAGGGGTCAGAAACTAAATCATGGATGAGGCTCTGTTCCTTTGTAAGGCTTCTAGTGGCATCAGGCAAGAGAAATGCACTGCAACATTTGAACAAATAATGTCAGTCCATGATATCTTCATACTGAAAAAAGCCAAGAAAGAAGCACATTTTTAATTCCCATTCCTTTTGCTTCATTTTTTTTATTTCATACAATAACGCCTATGTAAAATATAATAACGTCCATTCTAAATTCACAGAAAATGACATGTCAGACAATGGCAAGGTATTTTTCAGATATGACCTGGCATGGGTATGTTACAGATTGCTCCTTGTCCATAGGTCACACATGCTTGGAGGGACCTTAGGGATCAGCTAGTACAGCATGCTCGTTTTATAGGTGAGGACTGAGCTTCACAGGGTTGCTTAAGACTCATGACAAATTAGCAGCAGTATGGACTATAATTTTCTATCTAATGACTTTTACTGATTAAGTAATTGGGGAGTCAAACAGCTGAGAAATATATGTGCACACACCCACAAATACAAACTCAAGCAAAGACACATTAAACTGGAGGGAACTGGGACCAACGTCACTTCTAATCTGATTCACGTCAGTTTCTCTTCATAAATGGGAACTGGATTGACCAGTTTTGCATTCTTTTTTTTTTTTAAAAGCTGCAATGAACTGACTGAAATTATCTAACGTATCCACTATCATTTTGCATATCTAGTCTTAATTCATGCAGTGTACTAAAATTCCATAGAAATTCTACAGAAATATGAGATTTTACACAATCCTCTATTAAGTACTGTTAAAATTACAATTAACAAAGAAGAATAAGAGTCAATCATGGAAGGGCTCCAGAAGAGAACGACTTTTAAGAGGTAATAGTAATACAAAGTTGATAAAGGAGGATAATGTAAAGTAAACAGCATCTAGAAACACAGAAGTGAAAACAGTCAAATGTTATGAAGAAGCTGGCAATAAATAGTTTCATCTGAGGTTGGGGTGGATGTATGAAACCCTGGTGGAATAGACTGTAAAGGGTGGCTGTTATTTTCGATACCACATACTTAAGTAAAGGGGAATATTCTACTTCTACTGCTTGTTGCATGGGGCAATAATTCCGGTGGTTAAAATAATTGGGGCTACTTACTATATATTATTTTATGGGACAGTTTCAAAGTTAAATACATGCCTCCCAAACATGGAGTTGGTTAGAGTTAATTAACATGAGGTCTATTGTACAAAATGAGAGGAGCAGAAGTGTTCATACTTCACTGACTTTTTCATCTAAATAACTCTGTAAAATCAAAGCAAGTATTATATTTGAGTTACTCTGTCAGGAACTATATATGCTATGCATTTATTAGCATTTCATGGTTTACCAAGCACATTCACAGATATTGTTTTATTTGACTCTCATCAACGCTGTGAGTTAAGCTATCATTACTCACATCTCACAGATGAACAAACCTCAGCCTTGAGAAATTCAGTGAGTCGTCTCAGATCACTTAGCTTTGGGTGTCAGTGCTGGGGCTCAGACCCAGGTTCTGAGTCCAAGTCTTCTTTCCACTGAACCATTTCAGGGAACAATGATGAACTCTTCCTTGTGCCAACCACCTGTGGAGCAGTCTACTTGGCAGGAAATTTCTGTTAAGGTATTCCTAGCTGTTATAAAGAGTTAAATATTAGACCAGAGCCTCCTTCTCTGTAGGACACTTTTAATCTCTCTGTCTGACTGCTCCCATGTTTATGGGAAAGTCTGCCATAAACATCAGGACTATAGATTATATGATAAAAATGTTTATGTATATGGAACCTGGAATTTTGATGATTCTCTAAGTCAATTTAAGTGACTACTTGAAACGTTGATTTAATATAATGTACAGAGACTTTAACGTTTGTATTTTGAGAGGAAGATGATTTACATAGGGAACAAAATGTTTATATTTACTTTTTAATTGTCTTTTCTAGAATAATCTCACTTTAAATTTAATCTTCAGAACTGCTCTTTTGCCTGTACTTTAATGTTTTTACATTTTCTGAGGTGAGAGGCGCTATAGAAATATTCACTGATACTTTATATTTTAGTGTTCAATTTGAGTTTCATTTTTAGTAAATCAATGGTATTTAAAAATGATATATTAGAGTCATTTTGTGTACTGCTGTGTCAATGCAATTTGCTATTTCTTCATTTTATGTGAGATGCTTTTTGCTTTGTTTATTCAAACTCACCTTTATTTGTGTGTGCCTGTGTGTGTGTAACTTGTGGTAGAGAGCGCACACAAGAGAGAGAAGGGGAAGAAGGAAGAAAGAGAAGCACACTGTCAGGGTCTCATCATGCCTCAATCCCCTTCCTCCCACCCACCATGATTTTGGCCACACTTGTGCATGCCCAACACATCTGAGGTCCACCAGGCCAGACATCCAAAGCGTGGTCAGCCATGTGGCTTTCAGCACTGTAGTAAGGTATGGTACTATGTATACTATGGACAGCAACACCAGACTAAACCTTTTTTGTGTGCTTTCTGATATTTTGTACGTTGTCTTTTTCTTCACTAATCGTAACTTTAAATAGATTTTTTAAAAATAAATTCAGAGATTGGTTGCATGTCATTATATGTGGCATATCCTATCACTAACGTGTCCATATAACATGCTCAACGATCAAGGTTACTCCCTTATAAAATCTCCCCAAAGCAAGTTTTCCCCAGAACTCCATTTTACCTCAAAAAGCAGGCATGAAAAGACCTTAACAGGGGGAACCAGCAGTTAGCGTAATGGCTATGTCGCTGGACTCCCACGTAGTTGACCGCGGTTCACGTCCCGGACCCGGTGGCTTAAAACTCACTCTGGGCGCGTGTGCGTGCGTGGCCAAGATCCCAAGAGGAGAATGGAGGAGAAGGGATTGCAGCGTGACCATACCCTCTGGGGGGTGATTTCTCGCTTTCTGTCTCTATGTCTCTGTCTGTCTGTCTGGCGAGCGCACGCGCCCTATAGCAAAAACCTCTCCAAAAAAAAAAAAAAGGCCTTAACAGGAAAAGAAAATGGCCACTCTTTACTGAACAACAATGAATTATACTGTTGGCAGTATAAGCAAAAACGTCTGCTGAGGATGATGCTAACAAACGTGGCATATTGCCATCTCAATTGACACTACTTCTAGACAGGCATTAATTAGTATGTTTAGTAAGACTCGGAAACTGCAATTCTCAGGTTGAATCTGGAAATAAAAACCCAACAGATCTGTCAAGTTTTATTTTCTTCATTCTCAGGCTGATAATTCTAAAAACATAAATAAAAAGAAAGGCAAACAAGCAAAACATTGAAAGGTAAAGTTGGCTGCTCAACACTAGCACTATATTTTTAAATAACATAGCTCCCCTCAGAAAAGTATGATGCCTGAGGATAAAACTTTATGTTCATAACGTCCTGCCATTGTAGAAGCATGTTTCGTTTTACAAATATTCCTTTGATACAGGCAGCAACTCCAGGAGGTTTGCCGAGAGCACTCAATATTGCAAATCCTGGTTTACAGGAAAGGGAAGTGGAGATCTGAGGATCCAAGGGATTCATCTGAGGACACACAACTAATTAGAAGATCCAGATCTCCTAATTCTTATTCCATGCTATTTCTAATATTCAGGCTGAACCATTTCAAAATTTCTGATATTAGAACATTTTAAGACCAATAAAAAGGGCAATATCATACAGTCTCTCAAGTATACTTCTGACACTGGACATTAGTTGTTGGTCAAGGTCATTTTGTTGGGAAGAGAAAGGGAAATGAAGCAGAAGAAAATGAGTTTGAATTTTGTCTAATTACTAATTAATTTGAAGATAACTTGGCAACCAGGTGATTTATTTTAATGTGCTTTTCCCCATTACATAAGAGTTCCATTAATTAACTGTGACAATGAGTAACACTGAAAACTACATATTACCACAAGTAAAGAAGCTGACATCTGGATATAGATAGTATGTGCCCTGGGTTTTAGTGTCACAATAATAGAGAGTGAAGTGTTTTAGTGGAGGTTCAACCCCAAGCAGATATAACACCTTTAAGACTCACATGTTCCTCTTTCAGAGTATTCATCTTTCAGAGTATCAGTAGGACTGTGCTGCTCCAGAAAATATCATAGAAATAATTCAACCACCACTTCTAGATAGAGTCAATCTGAAATGTGATTATGAGAAAGCATAATCTATTTTCTAAAAACTTTTTCTCAGCCCTTGACTGTCTGTGAATTTTAATTCTTTTTAAAGAATTATTTATTTTATTTATTATTGTTTTTCAATTTGAACAGAGAGTGAGACAGCAAGCCACCAGGTCTGGGACTGAAACCTCAGACAATCATCTGGGAGTCCAGCACCTTAACCACCATGTTATCTGCTGGCCCCAAACAAAGGTCTCTATTTTATAGTCAATCTTCAGTATCAAAGCAGTTAATGTTATGCTGAAAAATTCTTATAGAGTTTTAAAAATGGGAATGAGAAACATATGTCATAAACCAACTTACCAAATGAAATACATAAAAACCCACTTGGCAATACAATATTCCTGAAAATAGCCTCTTTCTATATTTGAGATTATATAATCTACAGGACTCTTGCTGATTTATTTTAAAAGAAATTTTAGTAGTAATCAGAATAAAAATATAATAACTCAAACTTAATGAAATTGAGAAGGTACTAACCGAGGAAACTTGTTCCATGTACATGGAAAATCACATTTCATCTAGAAGGGATGCTTGCTTGCAATTAGAAGGTAAAGTTTTCATTGTTCTCTGCTGCTTAAGTCTCTCCCCAACCCAGTGCCTATCCCCTGACCCAACTGCCATCTCCAACTTCAGAAAGCAGCTTTATAAAAACTCTGGCCTGTACAGAGGAGCAACAAAGCCATTTCTTTTTAATCAGTTATTTAGTGTGTCATGCTCCCAGACCAGCAGGATCCCACTTACCCTCCACTCTCTTAATGCCAGAAAGATGTCGTTATTCGTAAACAACATGTTCCAGGAAGCCACATACACCTGCCATCAATAAAGCACCACTCAGTACCTCGGAAGCTAGTGATTCAGGAGTGTTTGTTCTGTTTCTTTTATTGCTGCTTATGGTGGACCCTTGCATAAGGAAAATTAAAACCTAAAAAAGAAAGATAGTTCTGTCAATACCGCATTGATGAAAACTGCATTATTGATTCGCATTTGCCTCACGATTCACTGAGGATTCTTCCTTATTTCATCTTGATGAAAACTCTCTTATTTGGTGTTCTGAGGGATAATTTGTGCCTTATGACCAGAGCAGGTAGAATAGCATTAATATTTAAAAGCAGGGGCTTTTGAATTAACTGCCTAGGTTTGGATCCTGATTCCACAACTTACTTAATAAATGATCTTGCACAAGCTCGTTAACACCAGTGCTTCAAACTCCCAATCTATAAATTAAGATGATAATAGTATCTACTTAGCAGGGATTTTAAGAGAGCTATTTAGATTGAGCTAGTTCAATAGCCTAATGTTAAAGGCAACTGGATCCCACATGGCAGGTAGTGTGATTTGAATTCCAGCTCCAGAGACTAGAAATTCAAGGGCACATGTGTGAGCATGTGTGCCCAACATCTTGACAGGATATAGAAATGGAGAAGAAAGGATTGCAGTGTGACTATGCCCCATGAAGGGATGCTGCTTCTCTCTCTCCCCCTCTCTCTCTAATGCATGCACATGCCTTATGGCAACTGAAGAAAAAGAGAGAGAAAAAGAGTTATATAGATTAATACATATTAAGCTCTTAAAATAGTGCATGGTACATAGAAAGCACTCAATTTGTACCCACCACTGTTAATAGCCTAGGTACCAAACCATCCCAGTGATAATGTATTGATCTTCAGAAAGACAACAGCTCTGTGACTACACTGCCTCTCATGTATGATGGTCACAGAGGTCACAAATCAAAGGTCAGCTCAGCACTTCATTCAGAGTGAGATCTGCATGACATACGGAAAGAGCTCTAGTCTGGAAGCACAAAGACCTAGATGGTAGCTTGTGTTAGCTATTAATGTGCCATGAGTTTGGGTAGATTACTCTACCTTTCCATACCATTTTTTTTGAACTAAAGAACTAAGAGAAACTTCAAAAGCTTTATCCTTGGCCTTTAAGAGAAAAATGGAAAACCTGATAGTTAGGGAAGCTGGAAACATGCTCAGCGAAACACTGACTTGCTACCTACAGTTGCAGTCCTGGCTGGGGATACAGACTTGAACCAGACATACAAGAATGCTGCCTTCCTGGAATCTACCTTCCAGAGGAATCTATCAATCAATAGTAGACTAAGAAATAAAGAAGAAAATGCATGTGCTATGAGGAAATTAGCACAAATAATGGGATATGGAGAGAAACTTACTTTAGTTTGGATGGTCAGAAAAGCTCTTTTACAGGTCTTAATTAAGCTGAGAGTTGAAGGGTGAGAAGTCAGCTATGTGAGGACTTGGAGGAAGAAAATTCCAATCTCCATTCAGTGACAAGCCCTAAGTTAAGAACTAGCTTAAAGTATTTGGGAACAAAAAAAGTCAAAGAACTTAGGAGAAAGTGGAATGAGATGAAGTTTAATAAGCAGGGTGAACAACTCTAAGCCTCATGGACAAGGCAAGGAGTTAAGTTAACTATAACGGGAGCCACTGAATTGGTGACTTATGCCATATGTAGTTTATAGTGCATTTTTTTCTTTTTCTTTTTTTTTTTAATGTCTTAAATTTTTAATCTTTTCTTTACAGGTTATCTAGACCACTTTTGATTTAGAAAACTATAGAAAGTTAGTAACTGCCACGAGCAAATGCCAGGCAATGGCACGTGTCAATTTTCCACAGAGTCCTGCTTTGTGGAGTGTCTAAATGCTCGGGGTCTCTGCTTATACTTGCTGGAATCAATCCTAGCAGATTTTAGTACACAGCTCACTTTTCCCCATATTTCTTTGTAAACTCTTCAGTGCTTCTACAGAATTTTTTACAGTCCTTACAGTATTCTCCAGCTAGGTCAGCCTGGAGGGGGTGCTCAGGCTAGGGGTTGTTCATGGGTGCTATGAGGGACTGGATAACTTGGTCAGTTTTGGTAGCTGACTTCCAGTTTTCAGCACTAATTACTGGTAGACAGACGTTCCCCTTTTCATCAATGTTTGGGTGATAGATCTTTGTTTAAAATGTGATCTTTGGTGGTTTGAATGAGTACTCTGCTAGAAAGTTGATTTCGATTCTGAAGGCCCCCTTGTCATATGGAGAGTTGTCAAGAACAATAAGCCCTTGCCAAATCAATAATTAGCTTCACCAACCTGGATGTTATGGAAGTTTTTCATTTCACATTTGGGGATTTCTTCAAGCTCCTTCATCAGCCTCCTGCTGACTGCCATATTGGATCTGGTGCTACTGTGTTTCCCCTATAGTGCATATTTTGAAATGACAGATGGGTTCCAGAAATTTCACTGAAGTCAGTTGTGATTTCCTAAACAGAGAACTGAATTAATTTATTCCATAGTTCTGAGTACTTTCTCAATTTAGAAAGGACTCTTAATTGAGAGATGATTTGTGAAAGTTAATTAATTTACAAGTGCCTTCATTTATTATCAGAAAAAAGTAAGAATTGGCATTTTCTCACCCTAAGTTTGGAGATATGACAAGAACTGAGTTGCTGCTGGGAAAACACTTTTAGTTTAAGGATAATATGCCTTAAACATTTCCTGCTCAAGGTTTAAAAATATTACATATTCCTAGGGGAAATGGATAAAAAGGCAAGAAGAAACAGAGTGGACATCTGCAACAGCAATTCATTAAAAATATGGATTCTAGAGCCAAACTACCAAATAGGTATCTCTATAATCCTGAGAAAGTTATTTAACTACATTCTCTGAAGTAACCCCATCAATTTCCAAAATAGCCTCTGGTAGGCAAAAATCACCCCCACCAAGAACCCCTGACCTAGGTCACTGGGTTTATGAGAAAGCAGACTTAAAGGAGATAAGTGAATCACCAAAACTGACTTTTCTGGAAAGGAGCACAATCAGAAGTACAAGTAGAATCTAAGTCTCCTGACTTCTCATTCTGTGCTATTTTTTAAGCTAAGTATATTCATACACACGCAGCCATATATATATGTCTCTCTCTGTCTCATTCTCTGTCTCTCTTTCATGGAAGAGATAAATGAATATGTTTTTAAAAATTAAGACATTATAGAAATAACTCAAGCTCACTTTGACAACTATATTTAATCCTGGTCTGCTTTATTCCCTGAAGTTAACCAGAATCATCCACTTTTTTTGTAGGGATATCACTTATGGCTGCCAGACTGTCACCAAATAATGTATCTCCAAAGTACTTCCTACCACTGCACAATGGGAGGACCTACTTTGGAGAGTATTCTTCCAGGGCTGTTTTCAATATACATAATGATTGTGGATATATGTGAGTGTGTGTGTGTGTGTGTGTGTGTGTGTGTGTGTGTGTGTGTGTGTGCAGTGTGTGTGTATGTGTATGTGTGTGTGTGTTTTGTATGTGCATAGACTATTATACTGAATGTATCATGTTGCATGGTTAATTAATTTATTTTTTTAGAGGTTTTTGCTATAGGGCACGTGTGCTCACCAGACAGAGACAGAGAGATAGAAAGCGAGAAATCACTCCCCAGAGGGGATGGCCACGCCGCAATCCCCTCTTCTTCATTCTCCTCTTGGGATCTTGGGCATGCACGCACATGCGCCCGGCGTGAGTTTTAAGCCACTGGGTGCGGGATGCAAACTGCGGTCGACTACGGGGGAGTCCAGCGAGATAGTCATTATGCTAACTGCTGGTCCTTGGTTAATTTATTTTTTTATCATGTCTTGCAGATGTTTTCACATACAAATGTATCTTACTCTTTACAAATGACAGATTATTTTCCATTGCATGGGTAAGTTCATAGTTAATATTACCATTCTTTATTACTAGGTATGTAGAGCATCTCTGAATTTTCACTATTATAAGCAATGCATCAGTAACCATTTTTGTACCTGCCTTTCCTGAGTTCAAGTGTATTTTCTAGGATGGATGAAATGAGACTCACTTCTTTCTCATTCATTTTCTGTCCCTCTCATACTGTCTAGCATAATACCTGGCTTTCAGTAAGCCCTTACTTTTTAAATAAATTTGAATTAGTTCAACCCATTGTACTCTTTCTACCTCCCATTCTCCAAGTGGAAATCCAGTCCGGTGATCTAGTGAATGTAGGGCCATACTACTTGTCCTCCTCAAATCTAGAGAAGGCAAGGAAGTCTTTCCATTGGGAGACACTATCAGGTCCACTATTTGTTATTATTTGTAAAAGATCCTATTGAAACAGGCAGAAAATAAAGTTTAAAATTACCCCCAAAGAGGTGAAACTTCCATAGAAGTAATTAGAACCATTTATTCTTATAGCAACTAAACTTATCAACCTTTCCTTTTCTGCAGCCCAATGCTTCCCATTTAGCGATGAGAAAATTATTATTTTCTCTATCATGAATATAACTAATATTTATATAATGCCTATCTGTTCCACAGCTTCCATACACTTTATGTGATTTCATTTACTCACAGCAGAGGCACATTAATAGCAAATGCTGGATGATGAATTATTTCTCACGGGAAAGAGAGTTAATATCACTGACCCCCATGTGTCACAATCCAATGCTTCATCCTGGATGAGGAAGCAGACCTGTGGAGAGGGAATCACAAAAAAAAAAGACAATCAATGCAAAGCTCTGTGATCCAAGGCTAAGGTCATTTTTAATGGAATAAAAAAGCACTCCAGGGCTTTAGTTATTATACCACAGTCACATGCCTCTGTGCCCTCAGCTGTAATTAGAGTACAATAAAACATATCCTAGAATGTTTTCGTTAAGTGGCACTGAAAGCTTGGGGAGGAATGAAAAAGGACTATTTGTCCTATTTGTCAAATAAGTACTAAGATTTTTAAAAAGTAAAACATGGATGAATTTTCTCATCATAATTTTTCATTTTATTTTGCTTATCCTTACCTTGGCTACCACCGGATATAAAGCAGCCTTCCCCTAAATAATGTAGACATTAATGAGCTCATTACTGTGGGATTTCTGTCAGCAATCATGAAGCCACTCACTATTTTAGAGGTGATATAATATGACTGCAAGCTTCCTCTTGCTAGAGATCAGTAACATCAGGCGTTGCTTGGGAGAAGTAGCAGGGGTGTTGTAAAGGGCGCCTTAATAAAGGGGTGCCCTTTCTGTGAGTACATGAGAACATGCGTGCAAAGTTTCACCTCTTTTAAAAGACCCTGGTGATTTTCTAGTTCTGCTACTGGGTCCATTTGTCAATAGACTTACTTTCTTGAAGTACTAAGAGCTCATTTGTTTTCCTTGCATCCCAAGGTCTCTAACTTGAAGAGTAGCCAAGTGTTGAGTTTATTATAACTTATCATAAGGAATAACAATGTATGTACATTCCTTTAATTGTGTGGTCTTCATGAGTACACTTCTGTACATTAGCATACAGCCATGTGTTCATCTTTCACTTGTAGTTATTTTTTCGGTCCATTTGAGAGATCTTTAAAAAGTTCAAGGAAAATGCTTATTATGGAAAAATCATGTGTGATTTAAAAATCTTTCTGTACCAAAACACACTTGTACTTTAATTTCATATTTTTACCAACTATTTGAAATCCCTTCATATTTGCTAAGCTAAGCATAATTGAAATTAGAAAGGTGAACAGCATCCACAGAAATACAGTTCTCATAAGTAATCTTACCTCACTTGGCCTCTGTCTAGTAAGCAAGGCTACTCCTGACTTATGTGGCTGTCTGAAAAGTTCCTGTTGAGCCATAATGGAGAATTCTCAGAAGTCACACACTCTGTTTCTGCATGGGAATTATGATTCTGCTCAGGCTGGGAGGAATAGATTAACTGCAGCATTTGGGGGAAAAAAAGATGTTATTCCAAATCAAATTTTTTGAAAGAGAAAAGGAAAAATGGCTGGACATAATTCAGGTTAAAATGGGATTACAGAAAAAGATCACAATCAAGAGAAACAAAAAAGTGTGTGGGAATAAATATGAGTTGAAATCCACCTCCACCCTTGGGGAAAAATAAAGAAATGGAAGCAAAAAGAAATTTATACTAAGTGTAAGGAAAGACCATCTACATTTACATCTATTTGCATAATATTCTAATCAGAAAGAATTTAATTAATGGCTCAGTACACAGTAAGACCTATTTAAAAAAAATACAAATTTAAAATAAAATGTACAATCTAGTTGTAAAGTGAGCAAGAAATATGTAATACTTCTTTACTAAGAGACTGAAAAAAATTTCCATTTTTGAAAAGAGATCAATTCTTATTGAATAAGTCTAAACAAGTTGCTAATTGCAATAAAAATCCTTATATCCTAATGTAACTTTTGGCAAACTTCCCCGGGGGGGGTGAGGGTTGATTTCTGTCTCTCAGTCTCTCTCTGTGTCTCCAGTGAGCACACACATGCTATAGCAAAAATGTCTCATAAAAGAAAAAGACAAGAATTTGGTATCTGATAAAGGTAGCACTTTAAGTCAATGGGGAAAGACAAAATATTCCACTATTGGTGTTGGAACCATTGGCTAACTTTGGAAAATAATAAGTTAGTTCTTTATCTCATCCATTATCCTACTTTGAAATAAGCTCAAGATGGCATAATAATGTAAGATTAAAAAAATAAAAAGAAACCATAAAATTTCTACATACGCCAGCCATGGTGGTATAGCAGTATTGGACACTCTATCATGCTGGAGCCACATGTGTCGGTCCAGAGTGGAAATTCTAAGGTCTCCCTGTACACATGTGATCATGATGCCGGCTGATTGAGGCTGGGGGTGAATTGTGGCCTGAAGACCCTGTTTAAAATGCCTATCTGTCTGTCTCTGTCTCATGGAAACAGTAAATAACTATTTTTAAGTTATTACACACTAACACTAGTAAATCATTACATAATTTTCAAGTGAAAAATGTTCTTTGAAGTATAACATTCAGTACAAAAATCATAAAAGAAAAAAAAGTGTCAAATTTGCCTGTATAATAGCTTGAACTACTCATGTCAAAGACATTTTGTTGAAGTCTGTTTTCTAATAATGACATTGTCCAAAGCATTTTTAAAAGGGTTAAAAGACAAGCTAAAAACTGAAAACATTTGCAACATACATGACAATGCATTATTTTCTTTCACTAGTGTGTGTGTGTGTGTGTGTGTGTGTGTGTGCGTGCGTGCATGTGTGTGCATGTATGTGTGTCTATTTGGTTGTGTCATGATGTGTTTTACTATGCAAAAATTTCTTTTC